AATTTGGCAACTTTAAGATGAGTGGACTTCAACTCCCAGAATTCCCCAGCCAGCATGCTGGCTGGGGAATTCTGGGAGTTGAAGTCCACTCATCTTAAAGCTGCCGAGTTTGAAACACATTGGTCTGCGTCTTCAGTGAAGGAATAAGAAAGAATCAGTTACATCTTCTGTGTGCAGGCGAATAACTGGGGAGTGAAATTTCTGCTCACTGTCGAGTATGTCTTATCTGCAATGGATATCAGTGCTGTTCTGGGCCATGCCTGGTTTTTACTTTGCAAGTCTGGATTGTGGGTGATGTTTACAGAGATCTGTGGATCATTAGTTCCCTACTAGAGGATTCTGCCTTTCTGAAGCAGGGTGGATTAATGGTCCTTTGATCTTATCTGTCTGTGTACTTTCGAGCTCTCCTTATTTCATTTTGGTCAACAAAGAGGCATGTGGTTTTCCCAGGTCTACCTCAAGCTATTCTGCACGTTATCTGATGGCTAAGGCATGCGTTCCATTTCTCCTTGCCTCTCTCAAAGATTAGAGGCGCATTAATTTGGTCGCTTAATGGAGGCTCCAACCAAGTGTTGGCATGGCGGATTGCTACGATGGCTGGTGCATGTTGGAGTTGCGGAAGTAGCAACTGAGCAGGTGACATAAACTGAGCTGCAAGGAGGCAGGGGCAGAATTTTCCATCATGTGCCAATGCTGGGGAAACTACCTTGAAGGGGCAAGTAATGTTGAGATCACAAGTACAGAGCAGAGGGTTTTATGAGTAGTTTTAACCATACAACAGTGCCAAAGCACTGGTGTGTGACACCACATTTCCCCACTCCAGCAGCAGATCATTGCACAGATAAGGCCACCGAGGCAAACGCTGGCACGATCAGGAGTGGAGGAGGAGACCCAGTAGCTTAAAACAACAACACGCCTTAGAACTCACATTTTTGCTCTGGAATAGTCTTCTCTCTTTCTTGAGAACAGCTATGCATGAGGCATGGATGACAGGAGGCAGGACAGGCAGGAGCAGGGGAGAGAGACACGTGCAGCCAAGACACAAAGAACAGAAGCTTGCTACGCACAGGCACCCTGTGGCAAAGGGTGGGAGGAGTGTTTTGAGAAGGGAGAGAGAATGAACCTGTCTGGCAGGCTGGAGGCAGGTGAGAGGGGAGGGAACCCTGAACAGGGGGGGCATTGCTGTCCATGGCTGTGTGAGACACCAAGAAGACAGCATTCAAAAGGTGGAAGCTGTGTGTTTGGGTTTCTCAAGCTTGTTCAGGCTCAGGGCTGAATATTCCGATTGGCTTTCCACATAGAGGAAGATAGAGATAACCCTGAAGAAGGGTTGGATGAACCTGGTCCTGAAAAAGTGGGAAGCATGGGAAAGAAACTCAAAAGAATCTTGTCTTGATTCTGTTTGATATAAGATGGGGGAGAGAGAAAATCTGACAGGCTTTCAAGATGCTGTTATTACACCTTTCGACAATAAAGGAGCATTCCTGGAATCGTTACAGCAGTGTTTCTTAACCTTGGCATCTTTAAGATATGTGGACTTCAACTCCCAGAATTCCTGGCTGGGGAATTCTGGGAGTTGAAGTCCACATATCTTACAGTTGCCAAGGTTGAGAAACACTGCCTTACAGTGTCTGTTTCCTGACCTACTGTACTTTGAAGGGATGACACTTACTGAGCATTAAGAAAAGCTTTGCCAATTTTCTCAGTTATCATATAGTTCAGTTATATAATAACTGAATTGCCTCTTGGCTATTGACGCATGACTGGAAGCCCTTTTGGAAATGTTGTAACACTCCCTCCGGATGAAAAACCAGACAAACGCAGGAGCCACAGAAATTGTTATTTAAGGGTATACCTTGAGCATTTCAAGCTCAGAACTGCTGCTTCAGGTATTCTAAGCTGGAAACAAAACTCCTAAGTTTTAAGAGTTTTGTTTGAGTTGCAGTCTAACATTTCGTCCTTTGAAATAGCATCATTTTGGGTGTCAAGGTCATAGCAAACCATCTTAGCATCCTGACTTTGAAATAGCCTGTATTGAGTGTTTTTAGCTCAGAACAAAGCATGATTTCAGAATCAAGAGATGGTTCTGAAATCAGAATAAAGCACTGAGCTGTTTCAGATTTTCCTCTGATAGACATAGCCAGTTCAGGTTGTTCTAACAGAACGTTTCAAGTACCGCTGTTTGGTCATAGGTCAAAACAAGACAAGTTTCTCCTTACGTGGTTACCCCTAAGGTTTTGGGTCTGTGTGGAAGATAGCAAATGCCCAGATCGCTTGGAAATGAGAAGAAAAGCCTGGGGAAAAAAAAGAGCAAAAAGAGCTGGAAAGGTCACCAAGAGTAGATGATTCAGCATGCTTGCTTTGTTCAGAGCAATCTATGAGAGTTTGCAGAAGTGGAAAGATTATCATTAGATTAAAATGTTTGTTATATGGGCACCTGAGTACTATGTGCCAGACAAATGTGTTTTCCAAGATGGGTATTTCTAAATTTTGGTAACATTGTTAGTTGTGTGGTGACCTAAAAGGACATCTAGAGTTTTACCCTGATGTACCAAATCTTGGCTGTTAAGGCCATATAGCTTTGAGTGAAGAAGGCACACTCATAAAGCAGTTCCCAGTTTCTCAGGCTGTGTTTTGCCCATCTTGACCTTTCTTAACAAAAAAAAAAAAAAAGTGATCCCATAACATTCTATGCCCAAATATATTATGGTTTAACATGATGACCTGGCTGACACAAAAAGTAAGACAGTGGCTGGTTTCCTACCACACTAAACCACAAGTTAGGTTAGTAAAATCCTCAATTTAAGTTTGACTCCTGGTAACATCATGAATGTGTCTATGTGATTTTCTTCACAGTGGTTTGTCATTCCTTTCTTCCGTTTTTTTTTTTCCTGGTGATCTCCCATCCAAATATTAACCAGATCTGACCCTACTTAGCTTTTTAAGATTATCGGAGGTTGGCTGAGTGCTGCAACAAATTACCCACCTCCAGTTTAGTTTATATGTTGTATAAACCTAATCAGAATGATAGATCTCTCAGTGTTAAATCCATCTTTGAATACTGTGTCTGAGGTTTTCTTTCTTTTTAATTAACAGCAGCCTTGGGGAGGGAGAATCTGATCAAGCGTGTGGCAGAAGCTATCTATGTAGCAGGGTGGAGATTATAAAATCCCAGTGCAGGATGCATTACACCCATCTGCTTGCAAGGTTTCAGTTAATTTAAGAAAAGAGAAGTATCATTCATGGGATTCAGAAATTGCCAGCCCTTCAAGGTAGACCAGACTAGGAAACCAGAGTAATGCACCGAGTATTTTATTATAAGGTTATAGTAACAGAATCTTGCAAGTTTGAATGTGCTTCCCTTCCCTCCCTGTATGTTCATGAGAACTAAGGAGGGTCTTGCCTGCGACACTCTCAGGTTATAATTCTGACCTAGATGCAGATTTCTTTTCCCAGACCGTTGTCTTGGTCGCGGCTCTTCCTCCTGTTCCTCAAAGTTATTCCTTCTGCCCATTACAGAAATGGATTTAGCACCATGTTTACTTGAATTATGTACTGTAAGAACTGAACTGGGGATAGAATTTTTTAAACTGTTTGTAAAAGGCAAGATTTTTTTTTTTTTTGGAGCATCTCTCTCAGTCTTTCCTGCTTGAGTTTTCTTCTTTCAAGGTGGCTTTGTTCAGTAACGTGGTTCACTGTAGATAAACCTTTGAGGCAGTAACAAGGACTTTGCAGAACCAGTCATCTTGGAGTTTTGCTCATTCTTTGCTGGATTCTTGCTTAAGTTGTTTGACAGTCGTAAGCTTATAAAGACAAAAGGAGGAGTTGCACATGAAGAGGAAGATGGAGAGACACTGCATTTTTTTTGTAAATATGCGTGCTTGGTAATAGGTAGTTGCTTATATTAGACAAAACCTGCTAATCATCCTAATTCAGTGTTTCTCAACCTTAGCAACTCTAAGATCTGTGGGGTCTCCCCCCCCCCCACAAATCCCCCTCCACACCCCCCCGCCCTGCGGGGCAGGGGGTGGGGGGTGGCGAGCTGCGGGGCCTTTGGAGGGGGTGGG